CCCCCCACAACCCCATTTTTAAATGTAAAGGAAAAGTCAATTTTATGCACCTATGAAGTAAAAAAAAAAGTTCAGAACTTTTTTCACATCAAAGTAAAGTGGAAATTTCTGATCCTTATTTTTAATTTAAAAATTATCACATAAAGTGTATTAAAAAGTTTGAAAAACATTACGATTTTTACTTCTTACCAAGCTTGTTAGATATCTTTCTTCTAGACTTATTTCTTAACATTTACAATTAATTTCGATCTTATTAATTTTTCTGTTCTTGTTATTTTAAAAACAAAAACCAGCGCCTGGATGGTAAAAGAATACTGCCAATTTTAATAAATGTTATGTAGGGTCATGTATTTATTAAAAAAACAACAAAATGAAATCACCTAAAATCCACATTTCAAAATAGAGATAGAGGTATTAATATAACTCTAAGCAAAGTTTAAATCAATTTAGTAATGCATTTTTCCTTTGTGCACTTCGAAGTGCTGCAGTGGTCCTGCATTTATCACCAGACTGGAGTTTTCCAAGTGTTCATGTTTATATTGGAATTCTGGCCTAGTCAGCATGATTTCTCGGCGTTTGTAAAACTTTGCCAGTGAAGAGATTACAGTAGGCCACTACAAATCAACTACGTTTAAGAAAATAACCATAGAAAAGTCTTACTGTTAGACATTTACTCACAGTGTATTTTGAAGTCCTTGTACTGTCTGTCTTCAATTGCTACCACGTACAAAGCAGCTCGGTCTGGAAACATTAGCCCTCCAGGTTTCTGTTGATGAATTGTGGGGAAATGGATCTCGTAATCTATTCACCTGACAAAGACATCACATTTTGAACTGCACATACAAAAAACAGACAAGCACCCCTTGCATGCCTTTATTGTTTTCCTTCAGATTGTCACATCAGCTTTAATCTCAGCAACTCTTGCAGCCTGTGGCAATGTGAATACATACTGTCTACACAAATTTCACCAGCAGTTAATCAAAAGCAAAGCTCTTTCACTGAGATTCTCTTGTTAATCTTTTTGTTATAGCCTAAAAAGTGGCACATGGAGATGTAACTGTGTTTTATTATGGTGAGAGTAGGAGAGAGAAGACCTGTTGTCAGAAAATAAATGATTGCTCCAGCAAGAAGTATAACATGCAGAGCACCTACCAGCCACTTGTCTCGTGCGAAGATGACTGTATTTAACATTGACTCATAGAACAGACAGTAACCCATCCACTCGCTGATGATGATGTCTACTTTGTCCACTGGTAACTCAACTTCTTCCACTTTACCTTTAAATATTGTGATGACTGAAAAAAGAATCCAAAGAAATATGTTTCACATAATAAAACACCTGAATAAATTTCTTACTGGTGGATGTCAGGCTGACCTTTTCAATATGACTGTCTTCTTGAATGCCTGTAGATAAGGGGTGACTCCATGTGAATCGATGGATTTACACTATTCTAAAGCTACTTGCAATAAGTATAATAAAGAAAAGTTTTAGTATCAGTATAAAAGAAAAGCAAACAAACCACCCCAAACCAAAAGCAAATAAAAACTGTATATAAAAAAAGAACCAGAAAAACAAGCCTTACCTGGTTACCTGCATGATCTAATTTTACATGCCCTTTGGAATTTGGAAGATTTCTAGATCATTGATCAAGTAATGCAAAAACACACCTAGAATCCTTTAAACCTCTCTCTAGGGTAACAGATAAATGATCTTATCACTCAGATATCAGAGATTTATGGAAGTAGGTTCAAATTTTCATCTGTTTTCAAACATATGCTGGCTCCACAGTGAGGAAACTAATGCTTATTTCTTCCATGAATTCTGGAGAGCTGAGTCAACTGAGAAAGTAAGATCTAGCCTGACAGTACACAAACAAGAAAGTTTGTACAAACACAGCTCTCTAATGAAAAATCATTATTCATTCCCTTCTGCTTCATGATTAAATCTCAGAACATACAGGCATTCTCACTATGAATCTTCTGTCTGGTTTAGACTTGTGTAACATCCCACAGTTGTCTAAAGTGACTGCTGGAAAACATTGTTGCCAGGTATTTTGTCACTAAATTAGCTTCAAGGAGATTAAAAAGGTTGCTAGAAGTTTGATGTAGTAGCATACCAGATCCTCAGAGATACTGTTACAACACAGCACATTAAATTACTGGCAAAACTGTATACTACTTAGAGGATACTGGGTATGCACTGCAAAAGCAAATTCACAAGCAATTATTAGAATTGATTGATATTAGAACAGATACTTTGCTTACAGGAGAATTAACTACTGGTCCATATTTAGTTCAGTAGTAACAAATACTAGGATCAGTAATCAGTTTTAGGATTCACCAATCATTCTTGCATTTTAAAAAACTATATTTCCTATACACAAATGTATTCCAAATCCTTCAGATAAATGATTTTCAGCTTGTGTTTGTCTGCTATTTATATTGTTTGTTGCAGCAAGTAAAGTCTCTTGGTTCTGGATTCTACCTTGACAAAGTAACTGATGCACTTTTAATTCAGGAATAAAGTGAGCAGGGAATATTTTACTTTCCATTACTAATTAATAAAATTACTGTATTACTCTCAATAAATGGCAGTTTTTAGTGATGGCAATTTTTAACTATGAAAGTGATCAACATTCAGTTTGAGGAAGATGAAGGTACTTTCATTTAGCTAGAACTATGTTAGCCATTTAAGCGGGGAAGTAAGTGTATGTTTAGTCATTTTTAGAACTCAGCCCAAGGAAAATTAAGTTTTGTCTTTCCAAAATACCTATAGTACTAGTATTACTCTGAACAAGTGTGGCAACTTAATTTGTGTAGCAAACTTTTAATCCAGACTGGCCCCCTAAGAGCCTGGGAACACACTGGTTCAGACTGGTAACACAAAGTATCAGCTGGTATTAATATCAGGAGACTGGAAAAGAGCAGAGTTCTCCTTTCTATTCTTTAAACTCCTTCCCTTCACAGCTAGTAGCTCAATAGTTAATCTGCTGTTATACTGAAGATGCTTCATGTCTATAAACTCCAGCCACAAATTATCTTAGTTCTCTCTTCTCCTAAGAACTTTCACTACCACAATTCTTTTGGAGTGAATTTGAGTACTGTTAACAGCTGCCAGTGAAACACCTGCAGACTCTGAAGCCTTTTGTTTATACCTAGAACAGCCTCAGTGTAAGCAGCTGCAGCACAAGTTCTTCCCACCTCCCTTCACTTTATAAGGCACCATGTGGGGACAGATTGCACCGTCCCCAGCTGTACTGTATTTGTTCTGGAAACAGTGAATTTTCTCTTGGTTCAATCCCTTTTGCTGACTCTGCATTTCTCTAAACAATTAAGAGTAGAAAAAAAGGAAAAAAATTCCATAAGCAACAAGATCCTTTGGCTCAGTACCTGCTTGCATTAAAATAAAAGTGAATGTGGGTCAGTGTACAGTGTGTAAGTGTAGATGTTTGTTCAGTTATGTGATTTGTTTACATTAGAAACCAAACTGCAGTTCAACAGACCATTAAACCTGTCCAGGCAAGTCTCCTGCCAAAGGGGGACAGGGATCTCCACCTCTTCCTGAACAGTTTTTTCAAGTACTTGCCCTTTGAAGAAACAGGAGAAAGCAGCAGAGATAAATACCTTCTGCTACCTCTGGAGCACAGTGGATCCTTCTTGTTTATTCTGACAATGGTCCCTTCACACACAGTTCCTGTTGCTGGAAATTCAAATGTGAATTGGTTTGTAGTATGCTCTTTGTGCAGCTATTTGGTGAAAGGTCATTCTGGGAACATACAGGCTCTGTATAAACATGCAGGATAACCAAACTGAGGTCAAGACCTCATTGTTTTTAGTGCCTTATCTGTACTGTGGAGGAGAGTATTTTCTGTTCCTTTCTTTTTCTGAACCAAAAGTTGCATAAGCAGGCTGGCCTCTTATATCCCACCTCGCTGCTATTTCTTTCACACCACACCACTTGACTATGACTGCTGTACAATAAATTATCCTCCCAAACCACCCTCTGTCAGTCAGAAGCTGCCAGTGACAGAAACAAAAATCAGAGCAGATCTAAACGAGAACAGAAATCTATTCCTGCTTATGTGCTAGCACAGCACCAGTGCAGACACAGCTAAAAGTGGGGGAGAGTGAAGGGCAAATGGTACAATTTAGACAGCTATGACCTGTGCTGCTCTGCTACAAAGGCAAGCTGTTCAAAAAGTGCACTTCTAAACAAGGACTGTCTCACAGACTCAGTTTAAAAAAAGCCTGACTTTTTAGGTTGCTACAGAGAGGCCTTGAGTGCAGTGATTTCGAGGAAGGCTGAAGATGAGATATAGGGCTTCTTGCAGATTTGTTTTAGTTAAGAGTTTTCAGTAGATTGGGCTTGTGTTTTTTGTTGTTGTTTTTGTGGTTTTTTTTTAATTGAACTGTTTCCACATCCCTGGAAATGTCAACAGTTTTCTTTTCAAGGAAAAAAAAAAGTTTTATGTGATACTGTTATTCTGAGAATTGAACATTTTCATTTGTGTGAATGTGTTTCAATATGGTTTTAAAAATAATTATTTTTTTAAAGTTGGAAGTCAGAAGAAGCTCCTAGTGAAAAATCTGTATTGATATGGAGTACCTTTTGCTTTTTGTGTGTTGGTATGTTTGGATTCTATTAAAGAGATAAGGTAAAATTCAAATAGCAAAATTAATATGTAAAGTTCAGCTCTAATATGAAGCCCTTTGCTTTGCTAAATCATACTACCTGATATTTACTCCTATTTGCTTCTGTTGTCTGTCAGGCTAGAAGTACATGGAGAAGTTACTATTCCCATGAGGAACTGTTACAGTGCCTAGAATGACATGTTTAGTGTTGTACTTACATAAGCAAATAATGGAAAACCTTACAATTTACATATAAAACACACAATATTAACTAATCAGAAAAAGTAAAAGTTTTTTTCTCTTTCTCCTGAAAAAAATATTTTTGTATGCCTTACTGTTGTCCAGGTGGTTGGCCTTGATAATTTTTTCTGAGTAGTCAGATATACTTGAGCATTCGATCTAGGAAAAAAAGAAAAAAAAAAGAAAAGCAAGAGGAAGAATAATTATATGTTAGAGATCTCAGCTATATGAATAAAACCAAAATCTACTGAAGGCAGCAAAGAGTCTTAAAGAGCATATAACCATTGATATAGAGTAAATCAATGGCTAACTTTTGTTCTCCTGGGGGACTTCAACTTACCAGACATCTGCTGGAAATGGAATAGAGCAGAGAGGAAACAGTCTAGGAGGTTCCTGGATTATGTGAAAGAGAACTTCCTGAAACAGCTGGGGAGGGAGCCAGCTAGGAAAGGCACCCCCTTAAACTTGCTGCTTGCGAAAAAAGAAGGAATTGTGGATGATGTGACTGTTGGAGGCATAGCAATAATGAAATTATAGAGTTTTCAACTTCTGGAGAAGTAAGGATGAGGGTCAGCAGAACTGCTACCTTGGACTTGTGGAGGGCAAACATAGGCCTGTTTAGAAGACTGGTTGACAGAGTCTCTTGGGAGACCCGAAGGGCAAAGGAGTCCAGGAGGGCTAAATATTCTTCAAGAAGGAAATCTTAAAGGCGCAGGAGCAGGCTGTCCCCATGTACTGAAAGACAAGCCAGCGGTGAAGAAGACAGAAGTGCTCACCAAGCTACTTTCTATTATCAGCAGTCCTGCCTAACTGGGGAGGTCCCGGTTGACTGGAGACAGGTAGATGTGATGTCCATCCACAAGAATGGGCAAAAGGAGGATCCAAGGAGCTACAGACCTGTCAGTCTGACTGTGGTGTCAGGGAAGGTTATGGAGCCATCTGGAATGCCATCATGCAGGACATACAGGACAACAAAGCAATCAGGCCAAGACAGCATGGCTTTATGAAAGGAAGTCCTGCTTGATAAACAAAATCTCCTTCTATGACAAGTTGATTCAAGTTTTGGATGAGTGAAAGGCTCTGGACATTGCCTACCTGTACTTCAGTAAAGCCTTTGATAGTTTCCCACAGCATTCTCTTGGAGAAGCTGGCTTCTCATGGCTTTGACAGATATATCCTTTGCTGGGTAAAAAGCTTGCTGGCTGGCTGGACCCAAAGAGTTGTGGTGAATGGAGTTTAATCCAGTTTGCAGCTGGTCACAAGTGGTGCACCCCAGGGCTCAGTGCTGGGGCCAGGTCTCTTTGATATATTTTTCAGTGATCTGGATGAGGGGACCATGTGCAACCTGAGTGAGCTCGCAGATGACACCAAGTTGGGCAGGAGTTTTCATCAGCCTGTTGGAAGAAGGGCTCTACAGAGGGATGTCTGGAATGATGGGCTAACGCCACTTGTATGACAAAACCAAATGCAAGATCATGCACTTGGGTCACAAAACCCCCATGTAACTCTACAAACATGAGGAAGGGTGGCTGGAAAATTCCTCAGTGGAAAAGAACCTGGGGTACTGGTTCATAATCACTGGAATATGAAACAGAGGTGTGGCCATGTGGCCAAGAAGGCCAACAGCATCCTGGCTTGTATCAGAAATAGTGTGGTCAGCAGGACTAGGGAAGTGATTGTCCCCCTGTACTCAGCACTGGTGAGGCCACACCTTGAATACTGTGTGCAGTTTTGGGCCCCTCACTACAAGAAGGACATTGAGGTGCTGGAGCAGGATCAAAGAAGGGGAATAAAGCTGGTGAAGGGTCTAGAGCACAAGTTTTACAAGGAGCATCTGCAGGAACTGGGATTGTTTAGCCTGGAGAAAAGAAGGCTCAGGGGAGACCTTACTGCTCTCTACAAGTACCTGAAAAGAGGTGGGGTTGGTCTCTGCCTCCAAGTAACAAGTGATAGGACAAGAGGAAATGGCCACAAGTTGTGCCAAGGGAGATTAAGCTTGGATATTAGGAAAAATGTCTTTATTCGAGGGGCTGCCAGGCACTGGAACAGGCTGCCCCCAGAAGTGGTCAACTCACCATCCCTGGAGGTATTTAAAAGTCATGTATATGTGGTGCTTAGGTAGTGACGTGGTTCAGTGGTGTACCTGGCAGTGTGCTGGGTTAACAGCTGGACTTCATGATCTTAAAGGTCTTTTCCAAACAAAATCAACTCTGGATTCTAGAAATCAATCCTGTGTGGGCAGGATCATGATCAACAGTATCTTACTATTTAAATTGCAGTCTGTGTTTGAGTCAAGCTGGTTGTGATAACATTGTGAATAATGTTAGAATTCAAACTATGCCAATACTGGTCTGTGTCAAGAAAGAATTGCTTTCTCTGTGAAAAATCTATCATCTTTGGCAATGCATTCATTGAACACAGACATTTTACACATAAGAAATTGCTGAAATGACTTTATTTATAAAGTAATCCAGATCTGCATGTCTTTCCAAGAGAAAAGACAGATTCCTGTATGCTTTGCAGAACTGAAAAGAATACTTGATAGGATTTACACGTTTAACACACAGATACCCTACCTGTCAGAAATAACTCCTCTTTTAAATAACTCCTGAAAAGCAAAAGCATCTGAGCTGGAGGTAAACCTCACATCAGTGAAGAAACACATCTATCTGAATAAACCTTGTCTGATACAAATATAAATGCCAGGCAGCTGCACACAGTCCCAGAACTAACGTAAATGAAGTTTGAAAGAACCATAGAATCTTAGAATCAGAGAATGTCAGTGGGTGGAAGAGACCTTAAAGATCATCTAGTTCCATGCCCTCTGCATGGGCAGCATGCTAGACCATATTGCTCAACGTCCCATCCAACCTGACCTTGAATACTTTCAGGGAGGGGGCACATCCACAACTTCCCTGGGCAACCTGTGCCAGTGTCTCACCACCCTCACACTAAAGAATTTATTCCTCATGTCTAACTTAAATCTCCCCTCTTCTGGGTTAAAACCATTACCCTTTGTCCTCCCACTACACACCCTCGTAAAAAGCCCCTCCCCAGCTTTCCTGTAGCCCCTTCAGGCACTGGGAGGCTGCTGTGAGGTCTCCCTGGAGCCTTCTCTTCTCCAGGCTGAACAGCCCCGGCTCTCTCAGCCTGTCTTCACAGAAGAGGTGCTCCAGCCCTTGGATCATCCTCATGGCCCTCCTCTGGACTTGCTTCAAGAGCTCTGTGTCCTTCCTGTGTTGGGGGCTCCAGAACTGGACACAGTAGTCCAGGTGGGGTCTCACAAGAACAGAGTAGATCCATTAATCTCTGTGCTAAACATGCATGCCTTTTGGTATGAGCAATTTTGTACTTTTACTAGGAAAGGAATTACAATGTACCTTCTAGTTCTAGATTTGCACTTACATTTTAAAAAATCTGAGTTCTAGCATAAAAGCCTATGTTTGCAATTGACCTTTGACAACTTTTAGATAAATACTGCGTTCCATGAAACTCTGTGTCTTTGTGCACTTCTGAAATCTTGTGGGTCAAAGTTGCTGGTCTCCCCAAATCAATTCCTAATTTGCCTCTTCCAAAACTGACTTTTCACTGCCAATAGTATTTTGTATAATCATTGTCTCTCTAATTCCCCTATGGGAATATAAAATAGAACTAGATTACCTCTAGTGTGCTACTTATATGTTCAGGGAATTCCATTTAACCTCTAAAAGCCAAGTTGTGCTTGACCTCTGTGATGGTACTCACAGATGGCAGGACAGCAGATAGAAGGGCACACAATTCCTTTATGTTTTTTATATAGCCCATAAAACAGCCAGACATAATAGAGGTCATAATACCAATCCCTGTCCTCCTGGGAAAATGATTTTTAAATAAAGAATGTGTATGTAAGTTATTTTTGGTGGCTTTCCAAATTTTCTAAAGAAGAAAATGCAAAGGAATAAAAAGATTTATGTAATGAATGACTACGGGTTTGCAAAAATCAGCTTCCTTCTCAAAGAAGGAAAATAATTTAAAAGCAACACTCAGATGTTCCAGGAAGGAAGATATATTTCAGTAAATAAAATTGCTTTTTGGGTAGCTAAACTTCTTAATTTCTACTATGTTCTTTGGTCAAATCTTATTTTGAAAAGCAACTCATTTCAGAAAAGGAAAACACTGAATTCTACAGGTGAAGAAATAGGAAAAAAAAATAAATTATGTTGTCAGATTTTCCCCCAGTTCTTTTTCAATTCAGTAATCTGCTCAAATCTGTCTAATTTTACAAAGCATTTGTATTTAATGAAAACTGTGTTCCAGTAAGATATGGCTGCACCTCAGTTTAAAGTAGAATCATAGAATGGTTTGGGCTGGAAGGGACCATCAAAAATCATCTAGTCCAATGCCTCTGCCATGGGCAGGGACACCTTTCACTAGATCAGGTTGCTAAAAGCCCTGTCCATCCTGACCTTGAATATTTTCAATTATGGTGCATCCAGAACTTCTCTGGGCAACCTCTTCCAGTGTTTCATCACCCTCATTATAAAAAAAGTCTTCCTTATATCTAATCTAAATCTACCCTCCTTCAGTATCAAATCACTGCCCCTTGTCCTAAAACTACAGGCCCTAGTAAAATGTCTCTCTGCACCTTTCTTGCAAGTCCCCTCTACATATTGAAAGGCTGCTATAAGGTGTCCCTAGAGCCTTCTCCAGGCTGAACCACCCCAACTCTCTCAGCCATTATTAATAGGAGAGATGTTCCAGCCCTCTGATAATTTTGATGGCCCTCTTCTGGACCTGCTGTAAGATGTTCATGTCTGTCTAGTTACGTGGACCCCAGAGCTGAATGCAGTACTCCAGGTGGGATCTCACCAAAGTGGAGTAAAGGCAGAGTATCACCTTTCTCAACCTACTGACCAGCCTTCTTTTTATGCAGCTCAGGATACAATTGGCTTTCTGACCTGTAAGCATGCACTACTGGCTCATACCCAATTTTCCATCCACTAGTATCCCCAAGTCCTTCTCTGCAGGGCAGCAGTGGATCAATTAGTTAATCACAGCCTGTACTTGCTTTGATTTAAGTGAAGGACTTTGCACTTGGCCTTGCTGAATTTCATGAGGTGCACACTGGTCCACTTCTCCAGCCTGTCAGGGTCTTCCTGGATGGCATCCTTTCCTTCAATTATGTCAACTGCACCACTCAGCTTTGTGTCATCTGCAAACTTGCTGAGTGTGAACTCAATCCCTCTGTGTCATTAATGAAGACATTAAACAGTAGTGGTTCCACTATGCACCCTGGAGGGTCCCTTAAGTTTCTTCACCTGCATCTAGCTCTGTGTATGTGTATTCATCTCTACTTTCATTTTACTTCTCAATCTTCAATTTAATGTTCCAAATATCTCCTCTTTCACTGGGTCTTTTTCTGAAACAGTCACCATATTCCCAGAATTCCTCTTCCCCTGGGCAGTGTCCTCATCACCACCTTTTTATACAAAACATCTAGTATCTGATGTGTCTTCATTTATGTGTCAGCTTAACTCCTTCTTATCTGCATTGTCTTGTTTGTCTGAAAATACCATACAATTCAGATAGTTCTACTGCAGCAATTGTCCTGATTTTTGTATGACTAAATGCAGGAGATGAACCAAATTTTCAATGGATAACTGAATTAATTTTTCTGTCCCTCATTCACCCCTCCCAAGCATCAACAGCCACATGCCAGTCCTATCTTTACATGTCTTAGAACAGCTTGCCAGTTAGATGAACATTACTGCGTGATCTACTGTTACTCTCTCACAATGGTTAGGAGTCAGAGCACCTGAGGAAAGAAGAAAAACAGAGAGGGCTGGTTCCATTCAGCTTGTAGAAGAGGTCTCCCAATCCAATAGCTACCTTCAACTAATCTAAAAAGGGCTTGCAGATAAAGTCAAACTCTTCTCTGAAGTGCTCAGTGACATGACAAAAGGTGATAATCACATA